ATATGTATATGTATATGTATATGTATATGTATATGTATATGTATATGAATATGTATATGTATATATATATCCGTAACTACGCACACGCGCGCACATACACCTACACACACACACACATACACAAACATACACATAATACAACACGCACTCATAGTCAAATATCTTTTACGTGCAAAAAAGTTTTTAAATTTAATTTTAATTTAAGTTTGATCTTTTAGGTGTATATAATTCAATAATGTCAAATGTATTTTTTCACTATTTAAATGTTTTAAAATTTCCTTTATAAACAATTAACCTTAGTAATACCTTAAGATTGTGTGTCATTTCCAAGGGTGAGAGCCTGGTGACTTGTAGTACAGGCGTTAAGCCTTTAACGAGCACCAGCTCCCAAAAATAAGCATATATTGCATGTATTTTAAATTACTAAGAACTATGTACGTATTTTTGTGGAGGAATAAACGTTATTATTATTATTATTATTTTCATATTAAGTTATTGATTTGTAAACAATTACAATGATTTCTAACTTTCATTCGATAACTGTGTTCCGAATAACTTTTGTATCCGTTGCCGGTCGAGAAGTTCGAGTAATCGTACGGGTGTGACGTCATGTCGTTTCGGTTTCGAATACGACAGTTTGACGTTTGATTCGGGTGTTGTTGCCGACAACTGAGTTATCGTAAGATTCTGAATCGACCCGCTGATACTGTAGTTGTCGTTGAGCATCTATATTATGTACCTGTCCCAATGTGTCACTGAGCGGTTTCAAATCGTCAACATCAGCTGCCGGATGACAAAGCGTCCGATTCATTAAGATGGCGGAGACAGCTGTTCGGTTGTCAGGCAAGATCTTGCGACTCACTACAGCGACAATGTTGCGAGCGAAGTTTCCTGCGAGATCAGAAAAACTAATTAATGTAGTTGGCGTAATATTATTTGCATCGATTCTTCTTATCGCTTCATCTTGAGAATAAAATACGACATATTATTTTAAAACCGATCAATACTGACGTACTCTCTTTCCAACAAAAAAATAATCATCAAAATCGGTTCATAAAGTTATCGCATAACATACGTACAAACAATTCAGTCTAAATGGAAACCTCCTCGGTTAAAAACGAATAGAAAATACATTTGATATCATTGAGTATTAAACCGGAAATAGAGACGAAATACGGGTCATCCATCCCTGACAACTCATCGGGCAAATGGGCCTTATATTAACTTTTAAATATCAACTCTCGTTTGCGCTCAAATCACAAATTAGAACGCTGAAATAGTACAGCGCCAACAACTGACCTGTGTGTTCGTCTCCGTATATTCCAAAAATATTCTGTATTTATTGTAATAAAGATAATATCTCTAACTATGGGGGCTGTTCCATTCGGTGGTGCGGGAAAAACAGCAAAACATCTAATTACAAAACAAACGGAATGACATTTCATCGGTAATTAAACATTAAATATGTAATTTTTCAATTTACGTCCATTATAGCAAAGCTTACTTTAAACTGGTCGATTTGAATTGAAACCATTGACGACACCCGTCAATGTTTTCGAGCTGTTGTCGAGATTCGTGCTGGTCAATAGGAGCGCAGTTGTCACCGTTATGATAGAGCAGAATAGTTTTCGAACAAATTAAATGACATTTCGTCTCTATTTCTGGTTATAGGTATACTCGATGTTACAATGTAAATTAAAGATTATATATTCACTCTGTCTTAGCTTCAGCTGGTTAGTGACGAGAACGTCCACATTGGCCCATTGTGCTGCCACTAAATCTTCAGCACTAAAAGCGCCGAAGTCCACCAAACCTTTGCTCATGCGTCGTAGACAGTCCAACCTGAAATGTAAATAATGTATTTTGGTATCTCACAACAATCTTGTTTAAATTCAAATTCAAATTCAAAATAATCTTTATTTCATTGGTAAGTATTATTACACTTGAAATCGTCACAATGGTTAAACTCTACCGCTCATTCGTAAGGCAGATTCCCCTAAGAAAAATGAGCAAGAAACTCTAGCTAGGGGTTGCTCTTTGTAAATAACATTTACATTTTTTTTTTATTTGAAACATCGGAGATCGAGACTACCTCTATGAGCTAAACGGGTTACTACCACGGATTTTTGTCATCCAAGTGCGCAGAATAGTTTTTGTTTCACTATAGTTTTAAACCTCGTGAAAGGCAAATTTTGTATATCAACCGCATTCTTGTTATAGAAGCGTATACATTGCCCCTTAAACGATTTTTTGACTTTGTGAAGACGACTATCAAAAAAAGCTAGTTTATTTTTATTCCTCGTATTAATGTTTAGGTCTTTACGGTGCGAATCACATGTGGTCTGTGGTACAGATCTTGAGTAGTCGCTTAATGCAAATCTTAGTTTTGAAAGCCTCTACCATGAGATCACGGTGACAATTATCGCAAGCGACTGACCGCGTAAAATGTCTGTACCTGCACAAAATGTTTTTTTAAGTATGTATTCATGGTATTTGACCACCATGATATTCAATTATTTTTGTGAAATTACTCCACTAGTTTGTTATATTATAATTATTAATACAAAGATCGAACATATAACTTTGAACTGTCTCCGTGGTCGAACGGTTACCATGTCGGACTGCCACGCAGAGGTTCGATTCCCGGGCCGGGAGGAAATATTTATAAGGCCTACATTTCTTGCTCTCGTGGGTTTGGGTGTAATTTGTGGTTGCCTATGTGTGTCCATGGCACCCGCGACACAGGGTTTTCTTAGTGCGCGGTTATGTCCGTTATTATTATTATTATTATTTTTACTTTAAAAAAAAATTTACAGCCTCCGTGGCTTGTGAGTGTTGTTTGTGGTACCGTCGTTGTTTCCGATTTCCATAACACAAGTGCTTTAGCTACTTACTTAGGGATCAGAGCAATGTTCGTGATGTTGTATAATATTTATTTATTTATTCCTTCGATGCAGCTGGATTCGAACCATCGTCGTAATAAAGATTGTATCTCTAACAATGGGAGGCTGTTTTTCCACCCACACCGTTCGATTTCAAAAACAGCAAAACATCTAATTACAAAACAAACGAGATCAAATTTCATCGGTAATGATGTATTAAATATGTAATTTTTCAATTTTCGTCCATTATAGCAAAGCTCAAGTTAAGCTTGTGACGGTGTGACCTTTTTATACCGTATCATTTTTTCTTTTGCTTGTATTTAAATTTTAAATTTGAATTGTAACATCTTCCTTCACTTTCTCATTTTTGCTTCGTACCACGGTCACTCTCTGCTTGACCGCGATAGCGGACAGAACTACTAAATCAAATTGTCTAATTTTTTATTCTTTTCAAGTTTAATCATAATACAGTCATGTAAATATTGTATCGACCATAATGAGCGAATAACAGTCTATCCAATATCTGTAATTCAACATAATAACACCCGATAAGGGGTAAGTGCCTAAATCTAACATCTACCATTTTCAGGTAAAGTTAGGAAATGTTTTTATATTAATGTACAGTTTTCTACATCTACCTTTTATTTGTTACAGTTTTTTTATTTACCTTTTACTTTACGTTAAATAAATTTGTGGACCGCAAGTTTCCTGTTTTACTGCCGTGATCCTGATCACGGTTGTTAGGGTTACAACCCTTTCAAGCGGGTCGATTTGAAGTGAAACAATTGACGACACCAAATTGTCACCGTAATGATTTGGCAGTATAATTTAAACAAATTAAATGACATTACTCGATGCTTTCAGATAAACATAAATCAATTAAGTTTCAGTTTTCTCACAACGTGTTGTAGGTAATACGTATGATGTATCTACTAGTATTGAACCGGTCTCTGTCATGTTTCAATTTCGTTATTTCAAATTATACAATCCTAAAC